CAACCTTTTTTTCTTTCCACTTTTATTTCCACTTCTTTTTAGTGTTTTAGCCACCTCCAGATTCTACTTCTCAATAGTACTTCTAGTTTCTTATTAGAATTTCAGCACTGTATTTCCTGTTTGCTAATATTAATTCTTCCACTGATCCTGACAATAATGTCTAGATATTCTTGGCTTGTATTTCACCTGACCGGCCTTGTTTAGTCTTGAAAATTAAACAGGAACAGATCAGGATTGGAGACTACCAGGAAACTCCAAGATTATGAAATAATTGGAGAAAATTTTAAAAAAATCCCAGTACAGATAATCCTCAACTTACAACCACAATAGGCCAAAAATGTCTGTTGCTAATTGAAATATTTGTTAAGTGAATTTTACTCCATTTTACGGCCTTTCTTGCCATACTTGTTAAATGAATCACTTCAACTGTTAAGTTAGTAACACAGTTGTAAAATGAATCTGGCTTCCCCATTGATTTTGCTTGTCAGGACGTTGCAAAAGGTGACACCACAATTGTCATAATTACGAGCCATTTGCCAAGTGTCCGAATTTTGATACTGCAACAGTCAAAAGTTACTTTTTTAGTGCAATTGTAACTTCGAACAGTCACTAAACAAACTGTCGTAAGTCAAGGACTACCTAAACCTCTTCCATATTGTTGCTAAGAACATTAAATGGCTATGTCCATGTGTTTAATTTAGAGGAGGCTTTATATGTTATCAATGGCTTCCCTACATTGCACCATTAACAGTTTTTATTTTCTCCATCTCTTCCTCCTTCATATTCTTACTTTTTCAGTCCAGTGCTTTTTCTACTTGGTTGTACAACCCTATCTGTTCAATCTTTAATTTTCTATCCTTTATTTTGCTACTTGTTATACTAGAGTTTGGTCTAGAAGACAATGATTTCTGGTCCTGAGTCTTGTCTGACGATCTGGTTTTGCTCACTATCTGACAGAGTTCCATGCTAACATAGAAAATAAAATAAACAACCATGGGAACAAAATCTCTCCAATAAAACGAGAAATCTTTTGCAATATTACTAAAATAGCTTTTTGGAGTTAGGAGTTAAAACCATAAAATGTCAACTTAGAGAATTATGTACCCACGTGCCTTACTATTAATTGACAGTATGTAATATGCTATGTGGCAGAATTCAATCTAAAAAAAGTATTCTTACAAAGTAAATCAAAGTGTGTGTGTGCGTGTATGTATGTTTGTATGTATTTCACTCAAAAAATCTTGTCTTCAAACTGTATACAAACATAGTAGGTTGTAATGACAAAAAATGCAAAAGCTTTATTGGAGTAATCTCTTAGAATGAACATGAAAGTCAGAATGTGATATTTTTCAATATCTTTTTGATCTGTTCCTGTTAAAAAAGAATGTTGAGAGAGGAAAGAGAAAACTGATAATGAAATGATAGCATTTAGCTTAGTTTTATGATAGAATATGGTAATATTCCGTCATAAAATAATGCTAATATTGATAAAAAATGCACTTAATACTGTAATTGTAGTTACAACTAGGATAATCATTATGGTTGCCAGAATGATATATTAACTCTCAGGTTTTCCATTTTTCCTCTTCCTACCTTTATAGAGGTAGTTAATGTAACACTGCTTATTGTATTAATCCATTTTCTGTATTTCATAATATATAAAGTCAAGCTAACCATGAGCTTCTGAAGGCAGGGGTGTTAACATCTAGCTTGAGTATCCAAATTAAACTCCAGGTTCATTCCATTTCTAAAAATCCTATTGTTTATTGAATACACAGCATGGTAATGTCAAAGCAAAACTAATTCTGAGGTTCCCAGATACCAGTTCCTAGCATTCAACAATAATTTCTCCAGCCAAACCCCCACCCTCTCACACGGTCTTTGTAAACAATTTCACTTTGTTATGGGAACTATCTGCTTCCTCTCCACACCTGCTGCATTGTCCTTGGAAAGGTTTCAGGCTCTCACAGTCTTCAGCGGAATCGTAGAGGTTTCATTTCTCCATCTAACCTGTTCTAAAGCAACACCTCCCCCACTTTACTCTAATGGCAGGTTGAAACAAAGAGGTACGGAGCTGTCAAAGTTTAATTCTTGATAGGGGGTTGATTTAATTTGTCAAGATGTCTTTGTGCAAATAACATGTAAATTGAGTCATTTGCATGGTGATGCCATAGCATCTTTGTGACTTATACGAGACACCTGTGCATTGTGGCTAAGCCTTAAACTAATATATTATCATAGTTGCAGGATTTTACTTGACTTGGTAGAAGCATGTTGAATTGAACCAGCCTCTAAAAATAGAACAATTTCAGATTACTTATGTGTTTTGCAATTATTGAAATGCTGGCATTGTCTGTGAGATTATGGAATATAATGCTTGCAACAAAATTGTATAGTAAAATAGCCAAGTCTCTACCCAATGTTGTTTAGCTTTTTGCTTGAGTGTGATTGTTAACTTCTGTCTTCTTCAGCCAAATACTCAAAACTATTGTGTTATGATGTGCTCCTCCTTTTCCATTCCCTCTTGCATTTCAGCTTTTTGTTTTTTAAAGTAAGTTGTGGCTTTGACTTGAAACAAAGCAGTTTTGCCTTGAAGCAAACATTTCCAGATTGCTGGATGACTTGGCAGAGTTCTCAATATTCTTTTTTTAAAGTCTGAAATAAGTAGGAAAAGATGAACCAAGGAGGAAAAGGTGAAAAAACAAGAATGCAAGGAATGAAGAGTTTGTTGGCTCATATTTCCTGTAGAGAAATATGAAGCATTATATTCCACAATCTCACAGACAGTGCCAGCATTTCAATAATTATATGAAATGGCTAATATAGTGCTAGAAAGGGTTGAAGTGGATTTATTGCTTTGCCTTTTCTGTATATATGATATCCACATTAAAAGGGAAGAGGATATTTAGAAATAATTGTTGCAGCAGGAGCAAATGTGGTTGGATCAGTACTTCAAAGACTTACTGAACTGTTGACTATTTTTGCTTAAAATATACCTGACTAATTAAGCAGGCTGCAATCTGAAGGCACAAAAAAAGCTTATTCTTTAAATTAAATAGATTTACTATGGAGTGGTTGAAAAGCCAGTAAGCTGTCTATTAACTCTATTAAATAGAGTTCGGACACTCATATAATAAATGGGTCATTTTAATAAATATCTGAGTTTGTTCTTATGTTTATTATGGTTTTCTTTTCTAGGAATTCATAAAATCTGGTTGGTTCTGATGCAGATATAACATTTCCAATTAGTTAATTGACACTGAAGGAACACAGAGCAACTGCTTTCAATTCTTATTCTGTATTCTGCTTATTTTTCCATTCTTGCAAGAAATAATTGTTCCCACTTTTCCATTGGTATAGAATGGAAATATATATTATATAATGTATTATGCTCTTTATATAATATAATGCTCTTTGGGCATGAATAATGCTCTTAATATTAATATAAATTATTGTAAATTATAGTGATAGGCAAACTCTTTGCACATAAAAAGTTAATTGTAATTGTGAACGGGGCTTAGTTAATGGATAAATTCAGCCACTTATTTCAATCTGCCCAATCTTGATCTATAAGGACCCAGTACATCAAAGCTGCCATTTCTGCAGGGCAGGGCTGCCTGGTCCTGTTCATTAACTTTTGTTTTCACAGCCACATCAGTGCCTATGTGTGTGCAAGCAAGACTGTTCAGCGTTATTCAATCCTGAGTAATAATCAGTAGACTATTTCAGGAATCTAGCCACAAAATGAATTTAAAAATACGCTTTTGTTTGGAAGTAATTGAATCAGCCCTTAATATGTAAGAAAACTGCTTTCAGTCTTGTTTTTTCAGTACTGTTTTTGCCAGCATAAGTTCTTTTATTTTTCTTTACTGGAGCCGTAGCAATCTTGCTTCCATTTTTTAAAAAAAGATTGGATGAAGTTAAGAGTTATAACTTGAAGGGGGGGGGGAAGAGGAGACAACTAGGGTATAAACAAATTTCTCAAGTGTTCTTAAGAAATTATTTCATATCAGATTAACTGAGCATCAATTTTGTGACTTAAATGCAATAGTCAAGCTCAGAGCACCATTAATTTTTAGTCAAAAATGAGGATCATGCTCCAGACCTCTAAAATAATTTAATGTACTATGGCTGAATACATTTTGTGGCATCTTTTCCACAAATCAGTAGTGCATCTTGGGGGTCCCAGACCTGTATTTCGCAAGTCATTTCAAGAAATTTACATGCACTTTAGAACTGAAAGAACACATGTATTGTAAAGGGAAATTGCTGTAGAAGTTTTATATATTTTAATATAAATATAAATATATAATATGTGAACATTATCCAAGAAATTATGATAGCTAGTTTAAAAATAGATAATAATTATTAAAAAAAATCAGACTCTTCACAGATACGGTGTAGAAGGAAATGAAATGTAAATACATGGGAAGAAGGCTATTCTTTTAAGCTTTTATTTATGTAGCAACCTCTAAAATTCTCCTTCAGTTTATTTTAGAAGTAATTCATTGGCAGTCTATGCATGAAGTAGGAAGCAAAACCAATTGAATAAATGAGATGATGCCATATACGTTGCCACTATTGTATAAACTGCAAGCAATGTGGTTTTTGTTAATACGTTGGAATGTTTTATCATTTATGCATGGGCCCGTTGAGTTACAAATCCATTCAATATACAAAGCCATTCTTGTTTAATTTTGGAATGCAGATGGTTTGCTCTTCAGTTTTGCTTTGCTGGGCGTAGATGCTTTGCTGCTCAATCTACATCTTTGGATGTTTGAAAGAAGACTTTGATTAACAGCTGATGTAAGTTTGGCTGTACTGACAAGTCCCACTGATTAGCACTGATGAATTATTAAGCATGAATTAAGTCAATGGGACCTGAAAAAGTGTTTAACTTATCTGCATTGTGATTTAGAAGCTAAATTGTAATGGACCATATGGGATTGTGGGATAAATTGCTTTAGAAGCCATGTAATTTGTTTCCTTTTCTCTTTCAGACCACCTGCAGCTCCAAAACCAGATCCAATTCCTGTGCAGCAGGTAAGGGGTTCTTCCCCAGTTCCTAAGTACAGGGGAATGCTATTGTGGTCAATTTACTCTTTCACATCTCTCAATGTGTTGATCTTCCAATGCAACATGGCTCTATTATATGTCCATTTCATTCATTTGGACATACTTGAAACATGCTATTTTGAAATCCTTGAAATATGCTATCTTCTTTATCTAAAAATTTGGTAATAAGATGTAATTTTTGGCTTTGAAAGTCCTCCTTACTGCAGCTATTTTGGAATTGGCCAAATTTATATTGGATGATAAGCAACCAATATTAAAAAACACTGTGGTTAGATTTCAAAAACAAGGACTAACATGGGAAATATCTGTTGTAGTTCTTACGGAGTTTTCTTTGAGTTGAATTCAACTCCTGGGGATTTCATAGTCACCCTTCCACAGCTTTTTGGGGTAACAGTAAAGAAGTGATTTGTACAACCTTCCCATTCCAGCGTATTTTCTCCTCCTTTCTAATCCAGTCTACCGTCCTAGAATTTCCTAATCATTCTCCATCCAAGTTTGATACTAATCCAATCCAGTTTAGCTTCCAAGCCTAGATAAAGTTAACAAAATACTACTACATGTAGAGATCAACCATGTTCGTAAAAGGCCTGTTCATTTCTTAAAATTCTAAGAGTTACTGATTACGAGCATCTTTATTAGTAGCTTTATGAAATTAGAAAGATAGGTACCACTTCTGTGGGAAGGTAATAGCACTCCATGCACTTCAGCATATAGTCATGCTGGCCACATGACCACAGATGGACCACGGAAGGACCACACTGGCTCCTTCAGTTAAGAAACAGAGATGAGTACCATCCCTAGAGTTGGACTCGACTGGGCAGAAAATCCTTACCTTTACCTTTACCTTATCTTTTATAAAAAGGTAGCTTAATATAAGACTTTTCCTGCCAGATCTTCAACGGTATGATACAATTACTAAGAGGAGCCTGTAAAGATACAGAAAGATTTGCTTTCCTTAGTAGAACATGATCTCTAATAGGTGCCTGTTGACTTGCTTAGCTACATTAAGATAAAATTCATGTACAGCAAGTCTGATGGCTATTGTAGCACAATGAACTGAGTAAAAGAAAGACACGCTGTCATATTATTTTGCAGCAAAGATATCCCTTTTCAAACAAAATATGTGAGTTTGCCTTTAAGTTAAGCTAAGATAGCAATAGCTTTTAAGTGAGGGAAGGTAAGATTAGGAACTCCCAAAGTCTGGTTATGTGCAATAGAACTTGTAAATTATTTTTTCTCTGGTGTGAGAGTTCTAAATGACCTCAAACTACTTTTGAAACTAACTTCTAAAAACAAACCCGGTCATTTGTCACTGGAAAGGAGGGGTATTGTTCCAATATAGACCTGTCCAAGACACATAATCCTTTAGTACAGCAGTTCTCAACGTTTGTGTGACGGCGACCCCGTCACACAAACGTTATGCGCATGCGCGGCGCAGCGCACATGGGGGCAGCCCCCCATGCATGCCGCGCATGCGCGGCACCGCCCCATGCACGGCATGCATGCGCGGCGCCCCCCGGAGGCGTGGCACCGCCCCCATGTGCAGCGTGCATGCGTGGCGCCACCCCCATGTGCAGCACGCATGCGCGGCGCCCCTGGAGGCGCCCCATGCACAGTGCGCATGCGCGGCGCCACCCCCGGAGGGGAGAAAATGGCGGATCGCCGCCTTTGGCGATCCCTGAAAAATGGTCAATCGACCCCAAATGGGGTCGCGACCCATAGGTTGAGAACCGCTGCTTTAGTAAGTAAAATTTTACTATGAGGATTCTGTCTTTCACTGATTTACCTGTAACCCTTGCATTGGAAGACTGCACTTGTGTCCTAACTGCTGGACCCAGTTTATAGTGAAGTTTTTGCCTAAAATAAATCCAGCTCACGCATGTTGTTGGGTTTTTTTGTTTTCAATGAAGCATGCTGTGTGATGTTGACAGTCAGTGTTTTAAAGCACAAAGTTGTGTACTTGCAACCAGTCAATCATCAATGGATGTTTCACAATAAAACCGCTGCAGATGTCATGGATATACATTTTGCATGTGTGTGTGTGCACGTGTGTGGCTTTCTTGTGTATTTTTCTGTTTTTATTTCACCTAGGTAGAGCCTAAGGACCTAGTTAAGCCTGTGCCCATTGCATCTTCAGCTGTGCCCAAAGTTTCATCCACAACCAGCATGGCCTTCAATAAGGCCCCCAGGCCCTTTGGAGCTGTGTCCTCCTCCAAGGTCACTTCCATCCCATCACCGTCATCTGCCTTCACACCAGCCAGTGCCAGTCTTCCATTACATGCTTCTCCTACACCTCTGGCCACTGTCACACCTCCCCCATTCACTGCCTCAGGAGCGCATGCTAATGTCAAAGCTAATGCTGACCAGCGTTGCCCTGTGTTGAGTGCTGCAAAGCCTATTGTTAATACCCCATGGCAATCTCCACACAATGCACCGTTCAACGAAAGGGCTCCAGAGGTGACAGAGGGGCAGCGAAGTGGATCAAGAGAGAACCAGGGTGACAGTAAACAGCAAAACGGGTAGGTAGTTTTAGGGCAGTTTTTTTTCTTCCTGTTTTAAACATCTCAAAAAGTACTTCCTCAGTAATGCATTGATTGCTCTTTCTACCTGAAATTATAAGTGTAAAAAAAGTCAGGTTAGTTTATAAAGTGCAATCTGGGCAGATCTATATACAAGGAACTTACTTACTTTTATAAATCAGATTTATAAATTGATGAGAGTGTTCTCTGCTGGAGATGATAAATGCCAAATTAAATTTTTCAAGGGTTCACAGCAAAATAAGAATGACTATTGAAGATTTAAATGCACAGCAAAGCTGCAGGCTATTGTGTTGCTTTGATTTTACAAGAGAAAAAAGAGGTTCACCTGTTGTGGGAAATGTTCCGTTTCACCTTTCCAACCAGGCATTTTCTGTGTATATTCCACACAGTTTTCTTCTTGTCATCCTTTATATTAATTCAAGGCTTTTTCTGTACTTAATGACTTTCCCCTACACCTTTTGTTCTTATTCTTCTGCAATTTTCATTTTCTTTTTAAATTTGCAATTATATTATGCTTCTTGACTTACATCATCAACAATATGGACTTGTAAACATATGTATAGTACATATATAAGTATATTTTTATATTATATAATAATTATATTATACTTACAATGTAAGTGTAAACATGAGCTGTGGCGCCGCAGTGGTTAGAATGCATTATTGCATAATTTTGCTGGCTGCTGGCAGTTCGATTCTCACCGGCTCAAGGTTGACTTAGCCTTCCATTCTTGCTAGGTTAGTAAAATAAGGGCCCAAATTGTTGGGGGAAATATGCTGACTCTGGATACCACTTAGAGAAGGCTATAAAGCATTGTGAAGAGGTATTTAAGTCTTAAATAATATTGTTATTGCTAAGTATAGAGAAAGTAATTAGATAGGTTTTTTCGCTAAACCTATATAAATGCATAATGTATTGCAACAAGAATACCACAGGAATGCTGATGGTATTGCTAAGTGCTATTGCTACTTCCAATTTCTGGCAAAAATGCCCATGGCAGACAGTGGGTTCACTTCATGACTTTGTATTCACTTAACTATGGTGATTCACTTAACAACCAACAAAAAATATTGTAAAATCAGATTGGTCACATGATGACCTGCTTAACAACCATCATGGTTTACAATAGTAATTCCAGGCTCAATTACACTCAAGACTATTTGTAACATTTTATCAAAGTAATTTGTAATTGTGAGAAGCCATTAAATCAGGAATGGGAATCTGAAGAGACAGTTACTATTGTATTGAGAATAATCATATTTCATTTTGAGGAAAGCAAGATGATAGAAGGAAAGCTCAATCTCTCAATTCATGTTTTAGTTTCCCATGGTTTTATTTTTCCTCTCTGTCTCACTTAGTACATTCTACTAAAAAAAAAAGAAGTTCATGATTCCGTAATTTATATAGCTGATTGTCAAGTATGAATCCCCAAGGACTGTAGTTCTGTCTATCGGAAGAGATTCAGCAAATCAAAGATCTAAGAGTATGAGCTTGTGAAACCCTTGTCAGTTTGAGTAACTATTATAAGAGTGGATCAGAATCAGGCTTAACCACATCTAATACTGCAGCTCTATTCCATGACTATAAAAGATCAGCACTGGTAATATAAGATAGGCACAAAGCAAAAACAAAAAATGGTGTGGGAAACCAAGGCTAAAAAAATAATTTCAAAGTTACTTAGGCATAGATCTAAAAAAAAGTGATTCACCGAAAGGACTATCAAATAATCCATCAAGTTCCAATTTGCTTATTCATATTAGTTCCCCTAAGCCAGGGATAGGCAACCTTGGCTCTTTTATGACTTGTGGACTTCAGTTCCCAGAATTCCTGAGCCAGTCATGCTGAGGGAAAAGGGAGAGGTTTCCAAGCTGAGCCATGCTGGCTGAGGAATTCTGGGAGTTGAAGTCCACGAGCCATAAAAGAGCCAAAGTTTCCTACTCCTGCTCTAAGCAATGTGTATAGGTCTTAAGTTATAGATTGTTGAAGCAATTGACCTTTGTGTGTTCAATTTTTTTTCTTCCGACAGCACATTTCTTTCAGTAAAATACCTACTATGTAAAAATGGCACACATATTATTTTACGTAGAGGGCATAGCTATTGTTAATAGCCTTAAGGACATAATATTGTATGCAGCCACACTATCTAAAATAGAGAGGATGAATTCCTGACAAATCTCTCAGTACATATAAATAAATCTTGGCAATGCTTCGGGCACCCTGGCACAAGAGCTTTTGCAAATCTAAAGCATAGCCCTGCCATTCAGTTGCATTTATTAGCATTCAAAAATAATTTATAACAACTAAAATAATTTTGTATTAAGAAGACAAGCAAACTATTCCCCCCCCCCCCGGCAAGATCCAGTCACCCACTGTAATTACAAACAATTTTCTCTACAGTTAATGTATGGAATTGTTCTCATTACTTTATGAAATCCTCTATGAAAGAGCTTTATGCCAAGTATCTGTCTATAAAGGAGCCTACATAAGCCCAGACATTTAGATCTGTAATCCTATTTCCATTTTATAAGTTTGTTGGTTTATCAGTGTTTGAACTGAAGCCTTTTTTTTGAACCAAGTTGTTGAATTATATGATGTTTTGTTTTTTTAAAAAAGCTTTTAAGTTTCATAATAAATGAAACTGGTAGGATCAACCCACATGTTAGCTCTATTCTTTAAAACTGACTGAGGTGTCCTGACAAGATGCAAAATCTGAAAATATGGTTTCAAATGATGCTTGTGCAGTTATTTGTGTAAGAAGAATTTGCTTACACATGAAACATCTAGTGCTGATTAAACAGTAAGATGTTGCACTCCCCTTTTTTACAAATATATTTAGAGCTTAGTAATACAATCTGTTTACTGAAACAGGCATAGATGGTAGCACTATATCTATTCAAGCAATGTAGTTTGAGATTAAACCTTAGCAATTAAAAAGGGCTTACGTTTGTGTCATAAAGAATTACTTGCACAGATTAGAAATTAATTCAGAGAAAGGAGTAGTTCATTTATCAGCATATAAAATGGAAAGACCAGTGGCCTTTGCATCCTTGAATGAAATATTCTCATAAGCTTAACATGAAATTCAGTGCTAAATAAAGGTTTGTATTATAAGGAGAATGCAGACTTTTAAAACAATATGCATATTGAACATGCATATAATTATATGCAATTATTAAGCCTGGCACAATTTTTTATGCATAGAGGTACAAGTTTATTGAAAAATCAAAGGACTTGCCTTACGGTAAATTATAAAGAATTGGGCTATGTTTGTGTTTAATAATTCTAGTTATTTTTTTTATATATATTCTTTTTTTAATAGTTCCTTTTTCAGTCTTTTTGACCCAACATTGTTGTTACCCAATATACCTGATAGCAATCATTTAGGGAAACTCTAAGGTTGAATTGGCATTCTAAGTGCATCTATTTAAACATTATGCTACATCAGCTTTGAACAAAAATGTATTATAATGACTCAGCAGTCCTGAAAGTCTGGAATACTTGCCTTGAATCCAGTTGATTTAAATTTTAGCAAAATACAGATGAGGTTGCAGCCTTTGTCCAATATTGTTGAGTTTGCATGTTTATGCAATGCAATGCAATGCTTTGTCTAGTTTTTCCAGAAAAGATACCAGTAGCCACTTGTCACAGAGTCTGAAGCTGATTGAGACTGAGGTGTAACTTGACCAAAGTCACTTAGTAAGTTTCTGTAGCTAAGAAAGAGATAGAACCTAATGTCTCTTGGTCCACCACCTTAACACCATCTTGGTCCAATCACCAACTTAAGCATGTATAACATGCTTTCTCCATATTTCTGAAAATACTGTAGTTTTTGTAGAGCAATATGTATGATTACTAATGCTTTATTTTTTTACCAAAGATAATATGAATTTCTAAGTGCGTGACTGCATCTCTTAATCAAGAATTATATTTAAAGTTGGCAGATAAATATAATTAATCATATTAGGATTTATCATGCGGTATAGAGATAGAAACAGCTATTTCCACTTCATTGATATCAAAAGTAATTGAGTAGTAGCAGCATACGACACCTAGTGGATGGATTAACATTCTTAGGCCAAAATGGAGAAGCAAATGTTTTAGTATCTTGTGCAAATCAGCCACTGTGTAATCAACAAATGAAGTAAAATGTCTAATCTATCCTACTTCCTATAAATCTGTCTTAAAATAGAGTGCTCCTTGGATTTTGGCAGTTTATAAATTTAAAATTGACATACATGTCCAACTGAAGAAGAATAGATACTCCAAGAAGGAGCTAGTTAGATAATGATATAAAGTCACATCTTGAAAGGAGTTTCTGCTATGGGGCAGTGAATGGCTAATCCAGTGTTTTTGAAACTTGGCAACTTTAAAATGTGTGAACTTCAACTCTTGGTTAATGACTGGGGAATTCTGGGAAGTAAGAGTCCATACATCTTAAGGTTGCCAAATTTCAGAAATGGTTTGCTCTTTAAGTGCCTGCATGTGATTTTGTTTTGAATTGTGTTCTTAGTTCATGCATGGTAATTAATTTTATGCATTAGATGGATCCCTTGGGCTAATCAAGGGATAAAATAGATTATTTATATTGGTTTGAAATGTATGAAAACATGTGAACTTACATGGTTTGGGTATGATAAAGTAGAACAGTAGGGAAGTTGCTATAATAAACATATTGATTTTTTCACTCCCTTTACAGATTACAACAGTGACAAAGTTAGTATTTGTTCCACTAGAATGGAGTTGTGCTTTGTGCTTTGGCATGTGCGGCTGTCCCAGAATTAAATTTCTGCAAAATAGAGCCTTGGCTTTTGAAGTTAAAGCAACATAAATTGTTTGCATTTTCACTGGTGTGTGGTTTTATTTACAATATTAAATTTTGTCTTGAGTAACTGGCAAACAGTAGAGATAATAACAGCGAATGAGTCTCTTTTTAATGTCTGCGATTAGACATTAAAATGGGTGATTTTTTCTATCCAGGTAGAAATAAATGAAGACATTTATTGGAATTAAATTTAATTCAAGGATTTTTCAGCCTCTTTCTTGCCTCTTCCCTATTCTTCCATTGACTTAGGGAAGAAATAAATTTGCCATGACTTTACCTTAACTTGTTACACCACCTTGTGGCATGGTGGGGTAGCTGCTGGTAAAAGTCAGCAAGAAATCATTCTAGAAATACCAGTTGGAAATTCTGTTAGCTTCATCTCCTATTCATGATTAAATGAAACTATTTTTCCCATTTGGCTTTAATATTACAATTAACTTTTATTAACTCTTTTTTTGCTCCTATTTTCTATGTTATTCCTTATCTGTACTTGAACATCCTGGAATCGAATCCATTGTTTGTGTCTTTTCTGTCCCTCATTCCTTCAGTAACCCTGATGAGGTGTAAGTACTTTACTAATCACTCTCTTAATGTTTGAGTTACAGTTTATATAAAATAATTGCTGTATTCTGTAGGTAGGCTTTTTGAATTAACTTCCATTTTCTCTAAGTTTGGGAATGTTAAAATACTTTTTGTTTTGGTGAAAGAATTAAAAAAACTATGCAATAAATTAACTTTTTCCAGTCGTTGTTCTCCTGATGTCTTGAACTACAATGACCATCATTCCTCTTTAGGGTGTATTCCTAGGAATGATCAGAATAATTGACACTGTAGTACAGTAGTAGAATTGGGAAAGGTTGAATCTGAAAAGTATATCCTTTCTCTTCTTTCTGTCCAGTATTTTATATGGAGAGTTTTAGTCTATATTCAGTACAGTGGTATCTCGGTACCCATCATTAATTGGTACCAGGAAGTGCGATGAGTACAAAAAATGATGAGCACCCAAAAAAATTCCCCATAAGGAATAATGTAGTGAGTCACAAGGCAGTCGACACCAGTAAGTTGTAGCTTGTGTATTGAGTACCAAACAAAGAATGAATACTGGAACAAAATTTTCATATCAAAATGAGTTGAGTACCAAATTTGATGAGCTTCAAAGCAGTTGAGTACCAGAGTAATACTTTTTTAGTGTATGGTGAAAACATGACAAAGAGAAATAAATGTATACACTGAATTACTGAATTCATTCTTAAAATAGAAGTACAGTATCAGAAAGTTTAGGAAGTAATTTGATGCTAAATGTCAGACAAAAGATCTGAATAGCAAGAGGTGCTCCAGGGTGAGCATCATGAGTTTCTGTGTGATAGAAATTATTAAGCAGAGATGGAAAAGTCACCTGGATTTTTAGATGACCTTGTGATCTTCTTATACTAGATTCTATAATCCTGTTCAGGTATTGCAAAAAAGGGCCAGTCATAGTGTGGGTTGCAATAAATAGCCTTATCTTCTCAGTAAAGTTGAGTTGATGATGTCTGTGAAGTTTCCCAAGAAGACTGTAGTTTATAGTGGAGAACTGTTGCTTATTCAAAAGTAACTGCAAAGGGTCCCACATTTGGAAGAAAAAAAATACCAATATGCCCAACAGTATCAAACAGAATAGGGTGCTTTTGCTTCAGGAGAAATTGGCTAGATGCGTATGATTGTTTTTATTAGCTGTATAAGCTCACCTGACAGGTTGGGAGTTTGCCCATTCTTCTAAATAGAAAGCAGCCCGTCAGCTTTATGCCAAGCTTAAATGGGGAAATTGAGAGGATAAAATGAGGCTCAAATAAGCCAATACAGTTTCTTCCTTGGGAGAATAAAATTATTATTAAATTATTTTATTTGGTGACTTGTCAATAGTAAAAGCAGTTAAACTTAATACTTCTAATTCTTTTGTCTTTCTGTTCTTTCTTCTCCTTATGCTGGACTGTCTTGTATTCTCTTCCCTTGCTCTTTCCAATATGATAAAAGGAAAAACCCACCTAAACGGTAATAGCCATGTGCCTTTTTGATGTTCAATATTATGTGCAGTTTTTAACTATGGTCTGTATTTTTGATGAGGGTGGGTGTGGAGAAAGGGAGCAAGTTGTGATAGTTTACAGTTTGCCTGAAATTGTTCTGCATATCCATAACTAATTTTTGTACCATTCCAAATTCTACTTAGATTATCATTTCGACCAATTTAACTATTGCCTTTCTCTCCTTATTCTTCTATGCTAAACAGTGGCAATAGGATTTCCTTCCTTCTTTCCTTTCCTTTCCTTTCCTTTCCTTTCCTTTCCTTTCCTTCCTTCATCTATCTTTTTCATTGACTTGCTATAAGACAAAATCTTACCAGTTGTTTTGTATTTAAGAAATTTTCACCCAAATTCATACATGTAGGATCGCGTAATCTCAGTACTGTTCAACAATGCAAGTTAGCCATTTTAACAGTTGATCGACTTCATAATATTTTTTAAATTTATCATTCAATTAATGTGGTAAACTATATTTTAGAATAGATATAGCAAGAGAGTAAAAAAAAGAGAATAACATTGCTGTATAATATTTTTCTGTGGAAAATGTAATATGTTTTGTTTTTCCCAGAGCCCAATACAAGGAGATGCAGCCATGTACTATCTTATTAAAAATTGTTCACTGAATTAAATGAAGGATTCTATGAATTATTAGCTTCTATTCATGCAGATTCTAATGTAGATATTGATTGCAGCTTATGTTTCTTTAAAAAGGAACAGCTGAAACCTGGATGCCATGCACTTTAATTTTTTTATCTAACCTGAAGGAAGCAATAACTTTCTCCAGCAAGATCTATATTAAATACATATACTTAGCATCTTGGCCTTGATCAATGTAACTCATCAAGTTTTATTGCCCTTATTCGTTGTATTAGTCCACCACGGAAACACGTCGTGTACAGAAATACAGATTTTTTCCATCCACCGGTTCATAGCAACAACAGCAAGAAGAGACTGATTGAAGATACTGAGGACTGGCACCCAAGAACTGGAACTACTCAGTCACGTTCTTTCCGGATCCTTCAACAGATCACAGGCACTGAACGTAGTAAGTATCTAAAGAAGAGAATATCTATAGCTCAGGGTTAAACTATGTAGTCCTTGGTGCTCTTTTAACTTGGTCATTTGCTTGCAGATGTTTCATTACCCAACTAAGTATTGTTACACAAGTGTGCTTTCAGGTTCAGCTTATGATCACTCACTCACAGGACTGGAAAACTGCCACACTTAATCTCAAATCAACTGAACACTGAGGCACACATACTGAGGCCCAAATACACCCAATGAATTTAAAATAACAGCGAACTTTTACTGATATATTTTTGCTCTTACACATGGTCTCTCTCTCATCCATCCTTACCCAGCATCCATTATTAGGCTGCCACACACTACCCAGAGGGATGGAAGCCACCAAGTCTGGGATCCAAAAACCTACTCAAGTAGACTGGGCAGGTTTCAGGACCTCTTTTTATTCCCTAGAGTTTATTGGGAGGGCTTTCCATGCAGGCCCAACTCCTTTGTTGGCGAGACTTGGGGAGGGGCTTGCCATGTGCTCAAACCCAACTTTTGTCCTTTTGTTCCTTAATGAATTGGTTCCAGTGGTGGGATTCAGACAGTTCACACCACTTCAGCAGAACCGGTAGCTAATTTTTTGTTGCCCAGGCCCAGAATGGACTTCTGGAAGTAGCATCCAAACAGAGAATCGGTTGTTCACATATTTGAATCCCACCACTGCTTGGTTCCTTTCCCTGAGGGAGCTTTTCCTAACCTTTGTCCACTCTGGTTACATGCCATCGCCACGTTTAGGAATGGTGGCTTTGGCCTAGTCTCACAGTAACATCATCATGGTATCTAGTTGAATAATGAAACATCTGCAAGCAAATAATCAAGCTCAAAGAGCACCAAGGACTACAGAGTAATAACTAGTCGGTACAATAATATAGAACTGATGACTCTCCCATATGCTATATATCTATATATTTATGCATTTTACTTTAGTTTTTTTTTCCAGTAAAAATTAAATATCTAGGTGGACTTTTTGCCAGGGTTAGATAAATCTCTTGATTTCTTCAGTTTCTTATTTTTCTCACTTTAAAATTTAATTCAGCCTATTTCCACATGATTAAGATTTTTTTTAAAAAAAAAATGCATGAAGAGTAGTAGTTCAGCTTTGAGAATCCTCCAGGAAAAAAAGAATTCATTAACTCATTCATATTCTCACCCTTTTTCATTAATGCTGTATAAATATAATAATCTAAAAGTGATATTTTTACTTTTTAATTAAAAGGAATTAGTAATGAAATATAGCAGCATTGTATATTTGGCCAAGTTTGAATGGTAAAGAACAAAACAGTAATAAATATGTGAGAAATTAATTCTGTGACCCTGGTAGGTCTTTGAACTTAAGTTCTTTTCATGAACTACAGAGCTGATACTTTGAAAATGGAAAGTTTTTAACAGCACTTTGCAGTATGTTTATTAAGTGGTTTGCTAAATGCAATAAATACTGATGGATTATAAAAATTATAAAAATTCACAGAATTTTTAAGTAGCAATTTAAACTGTGGCAGGGTATTCTACATATGTATCTTTTAGAGCAGCAATGGTGAACCCTTTGGGCCCAGTGTGTCAAAAATTCAAAAAATGCCTAACTTTGATGTGTCACATACAGACTAAAGGGAAACAATTCATGACAAAGATTCACTTTGGATAGTGAGATGGGTGGCACATAAATACATACATACATACATACATACATACATACATACATACATACATACATAATACATACATACATAATTGTAAATATTTTTCAGTTTGTCTCCCAGAAAAAAATGCCTAGCTATGGCACTCCCGGGTCACATGAGGCTTGGAAACTTCGGAGAATTGTCTTTTGTCTCTGAAAAGAGTGGGAAAGCATGCCCCATTCTTGCATGCTTTTGGGTGGCTCCAGATCCCATGTGAGAGGGGGACCCTTCTGTGCAATGTCCAGAGGTCAAGAGACCACATGACAGTACACCACATACGCCAAAAATGACATAGCATGTGTCATAGGTTCGCCGTCGCTGTTTAAGACCATCATAAGGCATTTGTAACAATAGGATGTTTAGATATTAGTCTTGTCATAAATTAAGGATAAAAGTTTCATGGATCAATGAAGAAATGGCAACTTCATGGAAACTGAATGAATGGCTTATTTTGTTGCAGTGAAAGAACCAGAATCAGACAATCTAAAGAAGACAAAGTAAGATAATTATTTTATATATTTATAAATTTATATATATTGCATGGATTTGGTTTGATGTATTAAAAGAAGTCTTTAAGATGTCACAAGATTCTTTATTTTTCCAAAAATCATGGACATTTTAAAGTTCTGGTTCTTGTTTGTATGGCATTTATTTTTAAAGTAAATTGGGATAGGTCTAAAATTGCCAATTTAACATTCGTTATTTTAAAAAGGAATTTGCATAAAATTGAATACTTATGTAGGCATCTAAATTTATTAATAATACTTACAGAAAAATGGAATGGTGTCATTAGTAGAAAGGAATATTTTTAAAAAAAAAATCAGAACTAGTAATCAGACGTTTAGAGGTAATTCTTTAATCTTTTTAAATGTTTTAGAAGTTTGATATTTTTGTTATGCTAAGGAGATTTAGAATTATATGTTTCACTACTGAAATATAGGCCAAATGTGAATTTTAAAATAAGTTTTTATGAAAAAACTAACAAGAATTGGAATGCTACTGAATCTTTATTTAAAAATAACATTACCAGTGAGGCAGGTCACTGCAATTCCTAACACGTCCTGATTCCTTTAGCTTGTGAATATTTGAAATGTTAGTGTGTCTTCCATCTGTCTTGGACTGAGAATGGTCTTATTGACTGCAGGATGGAAGCTTTAAAAGCATAAGAGTCTGTACCCTTGTTTTATTATTTTCCTTTAGAAGATTTTATTATTAAAAATTGTATATTGCTCATCTTTACTGAGTTTTCCTAGGATAGCTTACACTGATCACAATATTAAAAAAGCTGAAATCAAAACAATAATTAAATGTAAAATATATGCAAAATAGCAGAATCACAAAGCTTCACAGAAACACAAAGTATCAATATTTAAAATATAAATCTTTTGTCTGCTGCCAAAAAGACAACAAAGAAGTTGCTAGGTGTGCCTCTCTGGGTAGAGTGTTTTGCTATTGCTTGGTAGCTTTTTATTACATTACAACATGAGGTTACATCTGGAACAGAACCTCTGAAGATAACCATAGAGAAAACATATAATCATATAGGACAGGCATGGCAAACTCACGACGTCATGTGATGTTGTGCGACATATCACGACTTTTCCCCCATTGTTGATTTTTGCCCATTGCCGACATTGGGCTGGGCGCGATTTCGGCATGACGCATCCAGCCCACAGGCTGACAGTTTGACATACCTAATATAGGAAGAGGCAGTGTGATCTTGATGCAAGTTAACCGGTATTTAAATCTTGAGCACTATACAGAGTTATGAACCTATATTCTATGGAAGTTCTCTCAGTCAAAGTAAGTTCCTTCAGTTATAGCTGCCTTGTGTTTGAGCAGTTTTGTAAGATGCTGTAGAATTAAGTGCTTAAGATTTGTGGACTATGCAGTATTTTGTATCTGCACTTTTACTTGTAATTATACACAATTATTCTAGCAGCAAGGTTTATTGGCAGTATTAGAAATAGCATACACTTTTTTTCAGTAAAAAGTTAGATTCTGCAGTGAGATAAACTAACCTCATTAACATTACCCAACTTACCTTGCATAACTGTGACTTTATTAATAATGGAAGGACAGCAGCTTCTATTCTAGCCTTTGAAAACCAGCAGATATTGACTGCTTGTTTCAAGTGTCAGTTCACAACCAGAAGGAATAGAAATTGGCTTACTCATAAATGTCGACAGTTTGCACAGAAGTGCAAGGACAATTAGTGTAAACTCAGATTACTAATTCTGATTCTGAATTCTGCATGCTTTGGTTTGTCGTGTAGAATGGTTTAAGATGTAGACCTCCTTCCTCTTATCTGTCTTCTTTTATCACTTCTCTCTGCAGGGACAAGATCCCCCTCCACATCATAGGCCCTAGATACACAAAATTACGTGACTGGCACCATGGCGTTTCAGCACGTGTCCTTAACGTCCAATGATTCGCCAGTCCTAGAATTTGAATGAGTCTTTTTCTTCCTCTTTCTCTTCCAAATGCTTTGCAAAGAAAGAAATGACAAACAAACACAGCTTTGAGAAAGTCTAGCCTTTTATCTATCTTTTTTTTTTCTTTAAGAAATTTCCTGTCAGTGTATTAAGAATGAGATGAATCTGTTCTGCTTCTGCAAAGCCAGCATCCTCTGTAAAAATCACCATGCAGACACAGGTGGCATAGAAAATTCATAATGACTTGAAAAAGGCAAAAGTAGGGTGCCTTTTCTGGCAGGGAACCTGGCTCTTATTTGAAAAAGGTGCTATGTGCTAAGATATGGAGAAAGTTACAGAAATGCCTGTGTTGGAAAACATGCATAACAAACTATTTAAGCATCATTATGTACTTCCGATACAGCTCTGGTTCGATTCAGTAATATCAACATTTGTTTCTTGTGTTAGATATATTTTATGGCAGAATGTAAATGTTTTCAAAGAGGTAATGGAAGAAGAGGGTTTTTTATGTTAGTTAATGGGTCTTAGCAATAGTTGTGTTATACAGCACATGTTTTACTTGAGGAAAATGTTGTGTGTACATCTGAAGCCATGTGAAGTCTTCTGGACACAGATTAAAGTAAAAATTATATTGTAGAAGAGCCATGTAAAACAGCAAAAGAAAATAGTATGACTTAAATGAATATAGGTTTTATTTATTATGAAGTGGATTGTTTGGAGCTTCTTATCAATTTTGATCATGCATATTACTTTGTAATATAATGTATTATAGTAGATGCCTACTCATCTAATTTAGGCTATGTGGAGCTCAAAACTACTGAATAAATATTGCATTTCATTTGCTTTCTCTTTTTTCTTTATATTCTTTCAAAGTTTGCACACGTAGGTACCATACATAAATTTACTTGAAAACATTACTGGAGAAGGAAGGGATAAGAAAGGACTGCTGGACAGTGAACTTAAAGAAACTATATATTTCCTCAGATCATGTTTTATTTTTTTTAACATTTAAAGGGAGCTGCTATCATGCTTACACAAGAACTCCAAGGAAAAATGATTTGTTTACATTCATATGTATAACAAACTCAGATACAAGCTTTGAGGGGAAATGCTTCAAACATGAACATATTTTCCGTAGAATTTTCTTGTGATATTTATTTTGTCTTTTATGACAACTGTTGTCACTTTCTATTTGCTGATGCTTTAGGGAAAGTCAAACAGAGAATGGAGATCTGAGGTAACTTAGTTCTTTGACATTAACAACACATGTGCACAAAAATTACCAAATACAATGACAGAGTGGTGCTCATCATGTGGTTAAATTCTGAGCACCAATGCCTAATACTGTCTTAATATCTGTATTTTACCTGTTCTTTATGAGAGAGTTAATTACTTAACTGATGCTTCATTCTTTAAATCACGGAATTGCTAAACTTAAGAGTGTAATAAAAAGTCACTTCTCTTTACAGTGCATGTGCACCACATTATTCTTCAGTGAGTACACAAATAGTGCAGTGTGACACTGATCTGTATTCTAATTGTCCCACCTGCTTGTGAAACTGTTCTGTAAGTGCTGTTGTTGCTTTTATTTAACAATTGTGGTGATTTCATATTTTTAATCATGCTAAGAGTGCATTTCTGTAGTTGTATGTTTAATTATAGGCTGCATATAATTAAACCTGTATCTTTACTCAAGCTTAGTTTTAGTTGTATGTTAGTGTTCTACAGTAGCATTGGGTCAAAAACAAAGTAAGTCCATTACATTATGATAAAAATAAGTCCAGTACATATACATTAAAAAGCTTCGAGTTGGTATCTTACTTATCTCTTAATTGACTGTATAGTTTTACATAGATCTCCCCATCTGCATTATGGAAGTGATAATACTTTCAGGAGTAGTGTAAAGAAATGTCCTAATAACACACAAAATGTGTTATTATCTCATTGTACACTATGGAATGAACCCTAGATAATTGAAGAATCTATGGTTTTCTGCCATAACTGAAATCTTGCTTTTGGAGTTATTAGGAGCTCCTAATATAAAAACATGTTAGGGATTCTGTAGGTATTCATGGGAGATATTTGGGAACACTTAATCTTTAATTTCTAGGCACTGTTAACATTTCTGCTGACTATTTAGTGGAATTGAAGATGGAATTCGTGGCAGATGTGGAAATTACTTTAAATCAAATTTCCCAAACCTATGTCATGATAGACCATTTTTCTTTCCAGTATTTTTTTTTTGCAGGCCCAAAATATAAACATACATGTATACCAAATGATGGGTAAACTTTTGTGCATGAGTAAGTTTTAAAGACTTAGGTTGCCCAATACTCTGTGAAGGCTTCAGAGAATTAGTCACTCTTTTTCCTCTTTCCTTTTCAGTAAATGCTATATTCTGAGTAAAAGTGAAAGAGAAAAATATTTGTGTATTTTCTAAAGACTAGGCATTTTTTATCTCAAGGACCAGTACCAGGCTGCACATTGCAATATGGAAATGCTTTTCAGTGGGTACTTAGTTACTTTGCTATCATTATTTTGAGGCTTCAGTCTACTGTTTATGTTGCTTTTTTCAATGTTTAATCTTGTACTTGAGCCATGTTAATCGACGGCAATAAATAGGCGTTATGAATTAATCTTCAGAGTAATCTGTAATTTTTTTTAGCCCTCTCTTTTAAATCTGTCTGATTTCCATTTTAGAGTTGCAAACCACATTAAGGATTGCATGTGGCATGATTTCTACTCTGAATAATGCAATGTGATATTATATCCAGGATTATTTTAGTTCTTACTCAGTACTATTTGACCAACAGTGCCAGATTGGATTATTGCAAATTGGTGGAAATGGCTAAACATCTGTCTTTACTGATGTGGTGCTTTCCAGATGTATTGGAACTACAGTTCTCAGTTTCAAGACAACATGATTGGATTCTGGGAACTGAAGTTGATAAAAATGCTTTGTATCTTCCATTCAGTATTTGAAATGAATAGAATTTGTACATATTTTTTTTACAACAGCAGAAGTACAGACTGAATTCTCATTTGTTTACCATATGCTACTGTCATTATTGTAACAGAACATTTGATCTCTGGCAATAATTACCAGAATATTTGCCAGAAAAAAATGTCTCAAATACTTTCAGTTATCCTTCTAGTGGTGGTCTTTCATTTTTGTAGCTTTGTAGGTCAGGAAAATACTATGCAAATCAGTCCTTGCTAGGTTTTTCTTTGCTCAGAAAAAAAGCATTACTTTTACCAAAAATGGGAGAATACTGTTTAATAAATATATTTTTTCTGTAATTATTTCTATGTTTTTTTCTTAGTGCTTTTTTTAGGTCTATCTGTCTTTGTCATTATATGTCTTTTCTTCATAGCACAAAACTGTTTTCACCTCAACATCATTGCAGTTCTTCCTTGTTGTAACCAAGTCACCAACTTGCTATCAATATTCCTTAAGCAAAAATAGTGATATTCATCAAAAGACCTGCCAGTCATGCTTCTCACTGATAAATAGTACCAACATTGAACAAACAAAGGCATTTAAATACCTAAGGATGACTTTTCAGTCCTTCACTGCTAGAAGAGATCAATCCAAACCTGTCACTAATTGAGCTAGGCCTAAATTTAGGATTGTATTTTTAGAGTCAATGGAGGTGGTAGCCAACTGTGTGTCCGCTACCATAAATATTTTTTAGAGCTAAACTGATCAATCTTTTCCTGGATGGTTTCCATGCAGGATTCTTTAAAGATCTAAGATATATTTTAGTGGTACAGTGAAAAGCTTTAAAGTCCACCCTCCATGGGTCCTAGAAGGGTCCTAATTCATTTTTCATAATTGGAATCAGCATTTGTTTTTATGGGAGTTTGCATTAGCTTCACCACCTTATATTGAGCTTCACAGGAGGTTTTGTAACCCTCTCAAGTCTTCTGAATGATATTTTTTTTACCAAGAAAAAAAGTTTTGATTAATATTTATAAGCTGTTACATTTAGTGACTTTACCTACCCATTCACCTCCCGCTATGATTAAAACAGGAGACATTGATTCACCCCTGGCCATGTACCTTCTACTGTTTCTCAGCCTGGGAAAAGATATTGATTTTGATCCTATACAACATAGCTTCTGAGTTCAATACCGAATTTTATTAGGGTTTGAAGAATCCATCACAGAATTAAACATAATCTTGATATCACCGCATTACCATTTGAAAGACTTGAGAACCATTTGGTTGTTTCCAATTTTGATTAGGGCTGTATATTTATTTATATTGATATATTCATTCATTTTCTTGCCACAATGAAACCTGGATGCTTGCTTCTTATGATGAAAGGCATAAGTATTATAAAGAGCCATTGGATTCTGATTGGAGTCAGTCCCTTCTCAGAGATCCCATGCCTCCCCCTTATGTTGTTATCAGTTTTAATGCAAGCACTTTTAATTTAATCCCTATTCTTGCTGTTTTTAATCTCCAAAACCATAAGTCTTTCTATAACCTAATTCCCCTAGATCTTTATGTCCCGTTGCTATGTCTAATTGCCATGGTGGCACAGTGCTTAGAATGCAGTATTGTAGTCTGATTCTGCCCACTGCCAGGAGTTTGATGCTGACCAGCTCAAAGTTGACTCAGCCTTCCATCCTTCCGAGGTTGGTAAAATGAGGGCACAGATTGTAGGGGGCATTATGCTGACTCTATAAACCACTTAGAAGTGCTGTCATTATTATAACTGTATAACTGTCACTATTGATGGCTGCTACACTAGACTATGAAAACAACCCCCCCCCCCCAAACCTGGCTTTGTAGGGCAGAACATACATTAAATTTGTTTCTCTCTGAAGCTAAGATTTTTTTTAACAATCTGTAATGTATTTGATTGCCTTATATTGTTTCTATTCTGTCAGAAGTTGTATTTTCTACAGTAGCTAGACTTGAAAATACAAGCACTCTATTATTATTCCATATAAATCATATCTAGAAATATAATGAATGGACTAGAAGCTCAGCACTCCCATTCTGAAGCTACTCAGATCTGCGAAATACCTGAGGAATTTCAACAATCAGCACCACCACCACCACCACTACCACAGCCTCAAAGGTTGGCTCATCTTTTGTGATTCCATCAACTCACAGGTCACAGTCATGACTACATTTTGTTATGAAAACTTATCTGTACCATGTAATAATATAACCATTAATAATATCTTAAGAAATGAGAGGTATTCTTGATTAGGTAATTATCACATTTGAAAGTCAAAGCACTATGTTTACCGTCACTTTACTACCAATTACTATTAGATTGCAGGCTTTGGGGAAAACAACAGTTGATTCTTTTTTGCATAAAGGGCATGTTTACACATAATAACTCTTCATATGTCATGTGCTTATTGCAAGGAAGGTTGCTAAGTGATAAAGGAGACCAAGGGAAAATTACTTTGATCTCAACTGCTGTGAAAAAAAAGTGTTTTTGTTATTGATACTCTTCTATTGTGAGGTTAAACTGGGGACACAAAGTAATACTAATGTGTCAAAGGGCATGGCATAAGATGAAACAATTTCTATTGTAGATCTGATTAAATTTGCATGCTGCATTTTTATTGAAACTTCCAGTATTTTTAGGATGTTTTCAGAACATTAAAATATAAGATAAATCTGGGCATCCTGAGGATCTCTTGTTATTTTATCAAACTAATTATTGAATTGCTCCAACGATCTGACTTGTGTGTATCTACTCAGTTTTGACTGTTTTAGAAGAATAGCAGGAACTGTCTAAAATGCAGCAAACTTCAAAGTTAGCATGGATTCTAATCAAGTCTTTCACCTTCAACCTAAACAATTTTGCATATAGCCAAAGAAATGTGTAAATGTAGACTTCGAAAAATTTGTTCTGAACATTTGACTTATTCTCTTACTGGGGTGGAATGAAAACAAACTCCCATGAAACAGGGCAGAAGCAAATTCAACTAGTTCTGTGACCATAGAACCAGCTCTTACTACCATTTCTTCTACCACACTATCTGGACCTAATCTCTCTCCATCTTTCAGGAGGTAAATACTTCATGGTTTCTTCCATATATAATATGTTCTTCGTTCACCTTGTTTTTCTATTACAATATGTATTTCCTGTATTTGAACAACAGTTTTATTGGTAGAATTCCATAAGCTATTTGGAAATATTATCTCATAATATTATTAATGATCATAACATCTGAAGAAAGATTGTATTATTCTGAATTTGTACATGGATATCAATAGGTATTCCATCACTTCTAAAAGAGACATATACAGTGATTAGAAAATTAAATGTAAGATTAGTATTTTAAATCAGTAGTACTTTGTTAGGCATAACTTAATTTCCATTTGTTCCAATAAAGCTAATCTAAATATGGAGTCTTCATAGGTGGCAGTGCCTTCTCCAACTTGACTTAATTCAAAAAGAGTCAGCTTTAGTAGTATTTGTACCATCTGAGAATTCCAAGGAATTTGGCTGAACTAGGAAAATAAAAAAAAAAATACCTTAAAAGAAGGCAAATTCTTTCTGGTATTGCCAAAAAAATGTTTGAATGGATGCCATCAATATGATCTGAATTTTTACTTTTTTAATATTGACTAAATCTGGAAATAATCCATTGTAAGGAATAAAGAGCTGTATGGTAAATGCTGCACAGCATAGTCTATACAAATATTAAGATTTAAGATCAAACCAATTTGTAGGTCCATAGCTAATTTTAGAAAATTTATGTTCTAAATTTGTATTATATATTTTCTTCTTCAGAGAACTTTTTCTCAACAATCCTCTGGAAGCCTTACCCAAGTGTGCACCTCATCCACCTGTGACCATCCATATTCTGAGTATTAACAGTCAAGTAGCCACTGTGTCTAAAACAACATCAGCTATTGCTAGGTAGTTTTAAATATATCAGTTGGATACTGTTTGTAAAACCATAGATGTATTAGAAGGGATTTATAGATTAGCCAGTCTAATCCCAGCTGGGTGCAGAAATTCTTTACACAATTCTTAACCAGCACCAGCTTTAAAATTCATAAGAACTACTGAGATAGTAAAGTGTTTGTCACCTTGTAAAACTAAGGGAAAAGGCAGATAAAATCATTTTCTTTCTAATAGTATATTATTTGACTGCTTTTTTTTCTTTTTCTTGTGACACATTCAAATTTGCACACTTCCCTTGCAGAGAGGGGATTCTCTGTATCTTTTTTGTGCCCGTAAGAGAATTTTGTGTTATAAGATGGAGAAAGGAGTATTAAAAGGCTAGAAGTTTAGTAATGTTGCTTTCTTTTTGACTTGATAAAAAGGTTAATTTCTAAAGCAATATACAGACATAGCTATATCAAACTATTTAAAAGTAGATCTGAGTTTATGTACTGTCAAATTATGCTGACTTATTCAAGATGACTATGTATACATTTAAGTCAAAAGCAAATGCTTACTTGAGGATAACTTGATAACTGTTGAAGTTGTTTTATTCCACCAGATGGCAGCAGTTTATTGAGTAAAAAAACAACAACCTGTAGGTAGAGTATTACATAATCCTTGAGATCATATGTTTGGGGTTCTTTGTAGGTAAAATAAAGATGCCAACACCTTCGTACAGATATAATGTTCTTTGATGGATTCATAAATTGCTATTAAAAATCATAAGTTACTATTTCATCAGAATCAATTCCTGTATAAAGAAAAAAGTTGCATATCATGTATATTTAGCCTTCAATTAAAAAAAAAATCCTTCCTAGAAACAAATAGTTTAGTTCCTCTTCAGAAATATCCGGGTGACCTTTCTGTGGCATTTCAACCGACTTTGATTCAGTGTAATTTATAGTGCTCCCATCTACCAATCTTCCTATTTATCTTGTGAAAGGATTGTAACATCTAGTTTTAGGCAAGGAAACTATATTTCTTGGAAAGTCAGAAGCTGGAAGATCTGGGAAAGACAACCATGATTATATTTCCTTTTATTTCCTAAAAAGTGGACTATTTTCAGAGAAACAAAGAACATTTGATAATGTGCGATTTATATATACTACCCCTGTCCATCTGCATGAGGGCCAGATTTGTGGACTTTAATTTTTAGAATCCCTACTTGTAGGACCATTGCTAAGAGAATTTTGGAAATCCTTAGAGTCCAGAAAGTGCTTAGGTTGGGAAAGACGGTTCTAGATCACAAATCCTTCAATATATCTGTTAGTTCTCTCTTTAATTATTTTCTTTTATTTATTGAGCAATCAATATAGTGTCTGTTTAAACCTAACTCTTAATTGATTAAGGTCAAGAAGACTAAAAACTGGGTGTTATGAATTGATTGCCCCAGTTTCAAAATTGGGGACAAATGAAGCTGATCATAAAAAGAACGTACCCATGATGAATACTGTGGGAACTCAGACCTTTGAACCACTAGTACTTTCTCTTGCTTCTGTGGAATCTACTTCAACAGCCCAGCCTGAGAAATCTACATTGGAGCCTCCATTTCCTGGCAGGTATTCATATGATGACATTATTGAGAGTGACTTAAAAGACTTGGAAACTCCTTGTTCATCTTATGGTTATGTGCAACAGTTATGATAAAGCAGAAAACTAGCTGCTGTCTACCTATCTTAGTTTTCTACCAAGGCAGAGATTGAAAAACAGTATTTACCTTCCACAGTGTCAGCATGCTCACATACAAGTATCTCCAGTGAAAATAAAATATTAGTAAATAATAAATATGAATGACTATTATTTCAATAGCAACAAGTCCTTCACCAAACAAACTGAATATAACATTTCTTTGAAACTTAAGCAGTATCAACCTCACCTATATTGATTTTTCCTGGGAGGGCAGCATCTTGAAATTATATTTACTCCAAGAACTTCTTAAGAGAGAGTTGCTCAGCATAGCTTTATACATTTTTCTTCATTACTACCTTTTTTTTCTGTGAGAGATCGGCTACATTTTTAAACACCTGAAGTTCTTTAAACATTAACTATTGATCCAAATCATCTGAAATAAAATATGCTATGTTAAATTCAGAAGAAGCGATCAGAGATTGTATGCGTTTTTTAAAAAAAGAAATACTTTCGACAAAACCTCTGCTGCCTTCAAGCTATAATTTAAAAAGGCAAATATGTAGCTTAGATGTTGTTGTTCTTTTGAGAATGATAAAAAGCTGCCACAACTTAGTAAGATGGAAGAGCCTTTCTCCTCCATGAAAGCTTCATAAAGCATCCAGACTAATCTGTTGGTCCCTGACATCTGGCAGTAGGTACAATCAAATTGAAAGGAGTAGGATCGGATCCATATCTTTCTTTTTCCCCCTGTTTTTCTGTTCAAATTCTAGCTTCCAGAGGACAATTATTCTTCTAAATATTTGAACTGATAATTTTATAGAGGATTTCTGAAATTAAGCTGGGGACTGTGTAAACTTAGACAAAGATCTATATTCGCTATGGAATTGAAGACTTCTTATATTGTTTTACTGGCTTAGTGCAGGTTCCAGTCATATGTCTACTTTATATAACAGCCCAATGAGAATGCTTTCGATAAGTAGGTATGTAACACCAGTCAGTTCCCCAGGCTGATATTTGGGTCGTGTATTTTAATCATAATCTGATGCACTTTTTTAATTAAAAAGAGATTACATTATTAAGATCAGTGCTTAATAATGCACTTCAAAGCAATACTGTTCAGGCTGCAAAGCAAAGGCCATTACACATTAACTGGACATAGGTCCCACTGAACAAATTAGGAAAATATAAAGTTCTGTTTCTAATGCTAGCCATTTGGAAGAATTCAGGCAACCTAAATGAAATTTTCCAAAACTGTCAAAAGTTTGAAAAGACCAGACTATAAGACTCTGACTTACACATTTTCTAAAAAAAGGCACACATCGAAGTAATATTTCTATTAAGAAACAATTTGTCAACATTTCTGAAAAGGTTGATGTGCTGGTATGCTGCTATACCTTTCAGATTATTTTTGAAATTGTATGCATAACCTATGCTTATCTACAATTATCTCAGACTCAATTTTGCTTTCTTCCCTTGGACTTAATCTTGTATCATAGGAAATTGATATTGGAAAATCCGTTGGGAAGTTATTTAACATATCCTCAAATGCCCTTCACTTCAGTTCCAGTGGAGGCAACAATGCATATTAGGAATAGTGCTGCTGCCGCTGTGTCTGCTGCTGTGTCAATGCGTTCCAGGTAGACATTACATTGGAAAAGAATATGAAAGAAGTACAAATAGCATAGAAGCCCAGAAATATGTGAGATGTAGTTCTGAGTGCTTTTAAGATAAGAAATAAGTGCTAGTACTTTTAATATAGTTAATTCAGTATTGGATCATGTAGCTGAGTCTCAATTTATCAGTTAATTGGATTTACAACTGAAAAAATTGTTTCCAGTAATATGATCCAGATGTCCATATATATACATGTATGTATTTATGGATATAATTGACTTCTATCCCAATGAGTCTGACTTTATAGTAATTCTGATTATAACTTGAATTGATTGCTCTGAACAAAACCTCAGTCTCTCACCTTTAGATTTTGTAAAGGAGTTATAATCAGGATGTAAGGAGGATCATTCTAATTATTTAAATGAATTCATAGAAGGTAATTGAGCAGCTTCTGTGTTTGAAATTTAAATAACTGTTTGACTTAACTTTCTAATTTTGACATATCAGTATCGCTGAAATCTGAATTATCCTGTTGGCATATAATTCTAGTTAGGCAGTCTCTGAAGCTAAATGGGGTTGGTCCCAATTAGTGCTCTGTCAAGGGACTGGCTGGTAGCTTATCTAGGAAATTGGAAGAGATCCTGGATTGAATCAGTATAAATTGAACGTAAAAATTTCTTTATGTATTTTAGTAATAGTACAGTATGTTCTGTCCCAGCCTATGCAAATACTTGCTCAACTGCTTTACTCACGAGGAAAAACCCTCTTCATGGAACCAGGCAGGACCCACAAGAGAAACAAACCCCTTTTTATTTTTACACACCTGACTCAATGTCCAAGACTTTGGAGGCAAACAACCCAATCAACAAAACACAAAGCCGCAGCGTGAACGGTTGGCTTTGGCAACCGGCACCTCCCACACCTCCCCCTTTTATAGTCCAGCCAGGGTGTGGCTTTTCTTTTGCCTCTGGAGCTGCCCCACTGCCTTCCTCTGTCTTGCTTGCCTCTCCTCTCTGCGCATTCACGCATCTGGGATTGGCCCCAGTTGTTCTTCATCATCACCCAACTCAGGCTTCCAAAACTGCTATGTCTCTGCCCGAGCGTGAGTAGAGGGGCTGGGCTCCTTGTCTGACTGTGAGTTTTGGTGCTCCTCAGAGCATTTCTCAGACTCCAATGTCACTCCAGGCCCCTCCTCCTCATCTGAGACCTCAGACTTGGCTGCCGGATCCACTGGCTGGTGAGGAATCACAACACAGTATTTCATGAAGTCATTAGGTCATCATATACAATTTCCAAGTTCATATTTATCAAACAGTAATATGTTTTGCCAAGATATGTTTAGATTGAACATTTCTTCACTGATGCAATTAATATGTCATGAAGAAACAGGATGAAGAGACTTTTGCAGATGCTTTAGATTTTAGTAAGATCTGAGCTACAGATTCATTTATCTAAGATCTGAGAGCATTACTTGGTAACATATATTGATTGATTGAACAGCAATGCATGTTGCTTTAAAGCAGAGATCCCCAACCTTTCCACATTTACAGACTGGTGATGGGTGGAGGGAGTGGGAATAATTACATGCAAGTGGTGGGTGAGCACATGCGCAGCTCCATTTGTGCAAATGGCAGGCAAATATGCCCATCGTTCGCACAAATGGACCTTTGCACACTCGTGTTCCCCTGCTACTTCCACAGCCCAGTTCCGAATGGGCCACGGTCTGGGAATTGAGGATCCCTACTTTAAAGTATTCAGGTACTAGAAAATGAAAGAAGCTATTTCCCTCTTTTGTTTTAGAATGGATAACTTTCTGTTTATTTTATTATGATAATTGGTTTCCTTCTATTTTCTCTTTAAATACTTACTAGACTCCCAGATCATAGTAGCTATCGTTCTCTCTTGGATGCTCTTCTCATTACTCCTATTATTAAGCCCCCACTTCTGGAAAGCACAAGGCCATCAAGGAAATCTACAAGTGTTCTGGAGATGCAAAGGAAGTGGAGGTAGTAAAAGTATAGCAGAAATTGTCCTGGCACTTCATCCTCATCCTTGATCTTCTAACTCGCTCACTGTTTGGATTGCTTTTATTTAAATCCTTCTCACACTATTGTAGTAGAAATTATACCTTTGTTTTTGCTTAAGCTCTTCATTTTAAAAATGAAGGTATGTCACTGCTTTATTTGCACAAAAACTTTAGTGCATGAGTAGTAGTCACTCATTACTAGCATAGTATCTGTATCAGACTAATGGAGTGGGAGAGAAAAGTCATATTTTAATGTTAGGCTATGCTAAAACATTTCAATCATTATAGGAAAATGTTTCATAAATGGCTCGTATCCATTATTGGTACCAGTCATGTTGTTCAAATCAGGTTAATTTAAGATATTTTAGGTTGGTGGTGGTCCTCTAATTCATTTTGAATTATGATGTGATTCATGGCACAGAACCATTTTCCTTTATTTGAAAAGTATGACCTTCAGTTAACTCCAAGGTGGGAAAATATTACTAGAGTGGAATCAATAGGTCTGGATTGAGGTACTGGCAGAATTCCTTCAGTGTGGAAACCACATGTTGTTCTAAAGAAGTATTCTTAGAACAGAGAGGCTTTTTTTCTCCTATTCCCCTGATATTTACTGACTTAGTCTGACTGCAGTAGTTGGGAAATGGGACAGCAAATAAAAGATTATTCACACATTTGCCACCTACTCCATAAAGGTTTCACGTTTCCTGATGGGGTGGTGCATTTTGCTTTGTGTCATACTTTCTGACCGCAGCTATGATAATATGAGAACCAACTTTTCTGGCAACCAACTTTATTTTAACCAACAAAGTAGAGGTTTTGATGATTTAAATGCAGCTTGCTCATTTATTGTGTCTAATAAACTATTTCCTTTGGGACACTTGGATGATTTCATTGTTAAAATGCTTCATAAGCGCACATTATTCAGGTTATCCAAATGTTAACATATGAAAGCTTATGTTGTGAAAACCTTCAAATCTTTTCCATGATCAGTGGAAAGTCACTTTTTGTGATCTTCCTTCCTTCCTTCCTTCCTTCCTTCCTTCCTTCCTTCCTTCCTTCCTTCCTTCCTTCTTTTCTCAGCATAAACCTCTGTATATGATCCTCCTCAAGTCTGAGTTTATGTTACCTTTGAGTTAACCTATGTTACCTTTATGTTATCTTTAAATAGTATGAAAATACTCTCTGTATTTAACAATAGCCATATATAGAAAACTTTGGAAGAATAAAAAAAACCCTTTTCTAATTGTGAATGAATGAGAAAGTAAGTGCAACTATTTTCAACTATAAAATGCAACTTTAGCCAAACATAAAATTTATGACCTGTGCCTTTTAACTAACAGTAATATCTGCCATGTTCTGACAGCACATATAATATGCTTCTGACCACCACGGTATCTTCTGTAGTTTTGTATTCCTTGTTGATGGTTACTTTGAACTTGACTGTATCTTTGAAGACTCTCAGAAGCAATTCTTCACTTGTTCTTCCTGAATTTTACTGCAAACACATCCAGAAAACATCAAGAGTTATGGATTAGGCATGCCTTTTAGATGAATGTTGCATACAAAGTTTGGGCACCCATGTCCCTACTCTGTGTTTCAAGAAAACACTAGATCACAGGTCAGCAACCTGCAGCTCCGGAGCCGCATGTAGTTCTTTGAGCCTTCCCCTGTGGCTCCCAGCTTCCTCTGCCATTTGCAGAGAGAGAGAGAGACAGAGAGAGGCAATTGCGCTTCCCTGCTTCTCTCTCTGTCTCTCTCTCTCTCTCTCTGTGTGTGTGTGTGTGTGTTTGTGTGTGTAAAAGAGAGTGCACTCACAGTGTTCTCCGAGGAGTTGAAAAGCTTATTGAGCGGAGCTCCTCCCTTTGCTGCGTCTTTGCAGGAGGCAGGAAGCAGGAAGGGCAGGAGAGAGCTAGCTAGCCCAGCTATGCTGACTCAGGAATTCTGGGAGTTGAAGTCCATGAGTCATAAAAGAGCCGAGGTTGCCTACCCCTGAGCTTGTTGGAGAACAGCTTGAAGCCAGCTTGCCAGGTAAGCAGCAGATAGGAGAGAGGGAGAGAGCGGGGGGACAGAAAGAGAGAGAGAGAGGGAGGGAGGGAGAGAGGAAAGAGAGAGAGAGAAAGACAGAGTGGGGGAAGAAGACTGGCAGACCAAGGGCAGATAGAGAGGGATGGAGAGAGAGAGAGAGAGACAGAGAGAGAGACTCTTTTGACATCTAAAATGAAGATAACACTGCATATATCCGTTTTTACACACACACGCACCTATAATAAAGGTAAAAAAGGATATATGCAGTGTTATCTTCTTTTTAGATATCAAAAGGATTTTGCGGCTCCCGTTGTTTGTTTTCAGAGAAATGGGTCCAAGTGGCTCTTTGAGTGTTTTGGGTTGCCTACCCCTTCCCTAGATGGATAAAAACTGATACTCGTACAGAATTAATCACATGTTGCTACAGATTTGAATGTAGACTCAAGATCAGAAAACAGTGCAGAAATTTGGATAAATTTTCAATTTGTGCTATGTATTGTAGTTTCTGCAATCCACTTAAGAGGTTTCCCCCTCCCCCATTCTTGTTTTTGGAGTTTTTTTCTTCTACTATTCCTTTCACAATTTTTGTAGCTCTGAAATATTCTTAAACCTTTTTGCCTGGGCTGCATGGTTGAGATCTCCCCAAAGATTTTTGATAATTCTGGAAATTTTCAATAATAGTTCTGGAAACTTTTCAGGCTATTCCAAAACCCTTGTTTTTCCCCATAGGTGTTTCATTTCATTTTATTTGTTTATTAGCAGCTCGCCTTTATTATTTTTACAAATAACGCAAGGCAGTGAACATACCTAATACTCCTTCTATTTCCTATTTTCTTCAAACAACAACCCTGTGAGGTGGATTGGCCTGAGAGAATGATTGGCCTAAAGACACTCAGCTGGCTTTCATGGCTAAGGTGGGACTTGAACCTACGGTGTTCGGGTTTCTAACTTGATGCCTTAACTATTAGAACAAACTGTCACTCCTTTTTCAGGGTTGGTTTAGGGTCCAAAAATATTTTGCAGCCCACAAAAAGAAACATATGCTTATAAATAATGTAGGAACCATCCCAAACCAGTGCTTTTTTTCTATTAAAAAAAAAAAAGGTGCTGGAACTCACACATGTCATACAACCCGCCTTGCCTACCCTACAAGGTTCCATCCAAAAAAGGTGCCGGAACTCCGTTCTGGGCGTTCTATGGGAAAAAAAGCCCTGTCCCAAACCATCATGTCTTGGCCTTCAAACCAATGTCTTATAAAATTCTTGCTAAGCTGTGTTTGTGAACCAGCCAAAATGCTTTAGAATTATGGGAGAAGGATTGTTCTGAGAAAAACGATATTACTCAGGTTCTCCACAAACTAATGAACAATGCATATTTTTCAGCTCCTTTTTTCGTATGACATTGCTAAATATTGCTTTAACAAAGATCAATGTTCCACAAGCAAAGCAAGGGAGAGGAATTTACCCTTGGGAGAATTGAAATTAGAGGTTTCTAACATGCAGATTAAAGTTAGGGCCAGCACTGCTTTTGCATGAAAAGCATGCAAAATTATCTGTAATTATCAGGCAGTGGTTATTGTATTAGAAGGGAATCCATTTTAAAGGAATTTGCTTTCCTCTAAAGTAGTGTTTCTTGATCTTCGCAACTTTAAGAGCCATGCTGGCTCAGAAATTCTGGGAGTTGAAGTCCACGAGTCATAAAAGAGTTAAGGTTGCTTAGGCAGTATGAGCAAATAATATACTGCTCAAAAAAATAAAGGGAACACATCCTATAAGAAATCCTATAGGATGTGTTCCCTTTATTTTTTTGAGCAGTATATTAAGACTGAGGAAGGGATGGGAATCTTATTCAGTTTCAGAAAATCCACATATTTCATTCTGAAAATATTTTTGGACATCTTTCTCTTGTCAAACCTTATTGATGGCTCACAATCCACAATGATAAAAAAACAAGGAAATAACAAATGATACAACACAAACAAAATACCTCTATCAGCCAGCAATGCAATCTGGAAGCCAAGTTGTCATGGTTTAGAACAATAGGGGTAGAACATAATATGCAGAAAGAAATAATTTTGACTAAATAGGTCTGTTGAGCTTGATACATTCCTGGATACAAGCAGTCTTCAATTTATGACCACAATTGAACATTTTGGTCCTAAGTGGTAAGTCAAGGTACCCACATGACCACTTTGCTACTTTCCCAGTTGATGTGGGTTGTTAATTGAACGCAGGGTGCTTCGGGATGAGGGAGGCCTGACACAGGCCATGTGGGAGGACGGTATGCTACAGTGTGGCGCAAAGCCCCAGCTGCCCCAGCCAAGCCTTGCATTGCAGTACCCATCACTGCCACCCACCAATGCTGAGGATGCAATTGCTCCTGCCACTCAATGCTTGAGGTGTTTTCTTTCTGTGGAGAGCTTCACATGACTCACCTGAAGCAGCTACCAGTTGCATCAGGCTTTCTTTTCTGGAATCTAAAATCCTGGTGCACCTTCAGAACACTTTAAAAGCCTAGCATGACGTCAGAGACTCCACAAGAGTTCACACAGAGCTTCCAAATGTTTCCCAAGTTGTGTAGGGTTTCCTAAGGCCTCAGAAGGTGAGTGTGACTTTAGAAAGCTTTGAAATCCTGGTGTGACTGACTCCAAAGACTTCTCAACTTTCACGAGACTTCCAAAGATTTCTGAAATTGCGAGATTTCCAAAGCCATCCAAAGTTGTTTCACAATTCTGAAATTTTCAGAAGCTTCATGCAAATTTTGTTTGTTTGCACAAACAGGCTCCAAGAAAGAAGGCCTGAGGTGACTGAGACCTGCCTTGAAAGGGTTGTAGACACTTTTCCACAGCAGCAGAAAAACAGCCAAAAATAAGTGGCAAATGGCAGATCCTTAAGAGTACTGAGCAGTGAGGCAATTGCAGCATTCCTGAATTCTTGTGTATCTTGGAGAGCGGTG